GAGGGGAGAGGAGGAGGGGAGAGGAGGAGGGGAGAGGAGGAGGGGAGAGGAGGAGGGGAGAGCCGGAGGGGAGGAGAGAGAGGAGGAGGAGAGGCGAGGAGGGCGGGAGGTTGCTCTCGGAGGTTGCATCGTCTCGTCTCTCACAGTCACGACGGAGAAGAGCTCGACTGTGAACTCATCCTCGTGCACAACCTACGGCGAGATGTGGGGGAGATGTGGGGGAGATGTGGGGAGATGTGGGGAACTCAACCTCGTGCACATTTCACAGCCTGCTGGTGTGGTGGACAGTCAGCAAGAGGAGGGGGTCTCACAAGATGCACAAGAGACGCTCTCTCGGGGGGCGACAACGTCCTCGCGCGGCTATCATAGCGGCGCGCCGCGCGAGCAATCTTTTGGAAGACGTCGAGCTGGTCCACCACGAGCTGGCCTAGTGCGTTTGAGAGTAGCGCGAGTGAGGGACGAAGTGGTGAGCGCTTCGAGCAAGGCTCCTTGACACGGGCTGGCCTGCCATCTGGGTCTTGATCTTGCCTCCGCCGCCGAGCGGGCAGGGGCGGGTCGAGAGGGTGCCTTTGGGGGGGGAGGGGGGGGGAGGGGCGAGGGCCTCCCCCGAGGGCTGACTCGGGGTGACGTTCTCCTTTCGGAACCTTAGTATGGATTCGGGCATGTGTGTGTGCGGGAGGGAGCGAGAGGGTGATTGGGGAGAGAGGAGGAGGGAGGGAGAACGCGCGGCGCGGCCGGGCCCCGGACAGCGCCCCGGACAGGCCCCGGATAGGCGGTCGCAACATCGCGGCGGACGCAGAGGCGAGAGTGATACGCGGGGCGGGGCGCGGGGCAGCCGCGCGCCATGTGGATGTCGATGAGGAGGTCAAAGGCGAGCATGCCGACGGCGAAGTGGGACCACTGCGACTCGGGCTTCTGAAGCAATATGTTGTCCACCTTCATGTCGAAGAGCGAGATGATACCCTGGACAAACGGCTTGCCAATAGCCAGCTTGATGTCGGACGGCGGCGGCTCGGCCGGGCGCGAGAAGAAGAGACCGGCTCCGACGAGCAGCGCGAGCATTGGCGCAATGCGGAGGGCTCGCGAGCCGCGGCTGGCGCGGAGCATCGGCTCGCCAGGCTCGACGGTGGGGACACTCTGCATCGCTGACAAGTAAGCCAACAAGGACGCGCCGCCAAAATCCAAAAAGAATTTATTCTCTGGCGTGCCCCGCTCCCGTTCCCCTGTGTCCCTGATCGTCCTTACAAGATCCTGCTCGTGCAGGTGGGGACCCTGTCGCGTCTCCCACCCCTTGTTTGGTGTGTCCGTTTTATTTATTTATTTTTAAAAGAGTTCTATCGGCGCCTCGCTCGCACGACACTGGGCACGGGACGCCGCCTTATGTGTCCCAAAGAATTTCACTGGGCACTTGTGGTGGCGGCGTGCCGTCCTCCCATCCCTCCCTTGGTTTGTCTGTTTTCTGTCTTTCTTTCTTTCACTGGGCACGGGACTGGCGCGCACTGGCACTCACTAACAATAACACCCAAAAGAATTTTGCGAGGTCCCGTCCCTGGGCGCACCAACACAGGTACCCCACGGGAGCCGCCTAACCGACTCCTGCGAGGACGGCGAGGCACTTAGCTCCGGGTGCAGGGGGCGAAAGCCGGCCGGCCCGGGCCCCTTTTACGCCTGCCGTTTTTTTGGGGAGGGTACCCATCCTCGAGTACCCTCCCCACTCCCGCCTCTCATTTGTGTCACACCACGCGGAACGCATCTCCATCGCTTCGGTGAAGGGGGTGAACCGCGCCATCCTCGATCGCCGTGCAAAGCTCGCTTCCGAGCTCTCACGCCGCGCGTAGGCCCTTAGGGGCCTAGAGAACACAACCCCCTCTCCCTTTTCTCCCAGTAAGCTAAAAGTACGTACCCGAGGGTGAACTGGGAGAAAAGGGAGACTTGGTTGTGTTGAGCACTTGAGCACTGGATAGGGTCGGTTCCGCATGGTACGGGACCCCTCGATCGTCTCGCCCTCCCTCATTGGTTGTGTTCTCTATGTATGAAGCGCACCCAGCGGGCCGGTGATTGATCGGGATCGTGCTGCGGGCAAGAGAGCCCTGACCCTTGGGGGGTGGCCGCAGGGTCAGGAGGGAGGGGGCGAACGAAATAAAAACGGCGGCCCGAGAATTAGTTATGACGATCGGCCGTCGATCCCGAAGGGTCGTCGGTTGAGCTAGGGAGCCTGGCGATGGACGCCACCGCGACCCCTCGTGGCATCTCTCTCGCCGCCGGCGAGCTGGGGGCTCGCGGACGGCAAAACAATTAGATAACAGTGTACAGCCGTGAGAATTAGTTCAACTGTGAACGGGGACATGTGCGGGACGTGTCAGGGCCGGCTTGCCTTCTGCCCTGGTTGTCGGCCATTGCGAGAGACGCCCGCGTCCCACGGCTCTTGTTTGGGTTCCCTAGCTACGGAACGGCGCCTTTACTCGGCGCTAATAAACACCAGAGACGACTTAGGTTAGGTTAGGTAGGAAGGTGAAGAACAGCCAGACGTTTTTGTGTGAAGAACAGCCAGACGAGTCAACGTACACTCTGACTGGAGCACTTGGAGCACTTGGCGTGCAGTCATCTGGACTCTGTTATTTTTTCCGATGAGCCGGGGTGCCAAATTGCTGCCTTCGCTGGTGCTCTTCCCTGGTGTGCTCTGCACGCAGCATCGAAACTCTCTGAGCCTTGCCTGGCGCATACATGATCATCAGGCAAAGGACGCGTGCCAGCTCTTCCCGCCTCCGATCCTTCCGGCGCGGCATTCTCTCTGGCGAGTGGACGCTGCCTCCCACTGGGTGCCGCGAACGAGGCATCATCCCTTGGTCGCTGCCCTTCCGTGTGAGCGAGGCGGAGGCGCGCTGCGCCTTTGAGACGTGGCGGAGCAGCGGACGCCGGCCAGACCCGCAGCTCTCCGTCCGCCACGTCCGGCCGGTTCACCTGCCGTACTACATCTTCACCGGTCGGCTCGAGGTGACCTTCAAGGGCGTGCTCGGCTTCGGCAAGACCGAGTACGCCGCGCACGGCCTCCGCTGCTCGACAGAGCTCGGCCCGGACGAGGGCGCCGCGACGGCAGTCTACGCCGGCTTTGACTTCCGCAGGCGGTACGTGCGAGAGACGCTGTCGGGCGACGTGTCGGAGGCGCTGCTGGAAAGCGCCGTCCCCTTCTCGCAGCTGGCCGACCAGCCTGCCGGCGCCGGCGTCGAGTCCTTCAAGATGAAGCCGTCCTTTGCCTATGCGCAGCGCCTCTGCGAACGGCTTCCGGGTGCAGCGCCGAGATGCGCCGAGATGCGCCGAGAGGCGCCGAGAGGAGCTGAGAGGAGGAGCCGAGGCGCCGAGATGCGACGAGACACGCGCAGCCACGCTCCTAGCCGCCTCGCTCCCCGCCGCCTCGCTCCGCCGCCCCCGAGAGGCTCTGCCGGCGTAGGGACCGCGCTGTACGAGGCACGGTGAGACACTTCTCCGAACCTTCTCCGAACCCTCTCTCCTAGGCATCGCGCTGTACGAGGCGGGCCGAGACCTGCTCACCGAGCGTTGCTGCAGCCTCTCGACACCCGGGATGGACCTGCGCTGGAGCCTGCCTGCAGGCAGACCGCCACCTGCGCACGAGCGCGGAGGCGCGCGCGCTTCGCTTCGAGGCACGCGGCGGCTCCCTCGCCCCCGCCGCCGCTGCCTCGGGACGTGTCCATCGGGGCGTGTCCACGACGCGCCCCCCCGTGCCTCGTCCCGTCTGCAGGCAGCCGACGGCTCCTTCGTGTGCCCCGCGGGCGAGAGGCCGCCCTGCTACGTGCGCGGCGAGGAGGCAGGGAGAGGTGCTCTGGGCCACCCGCCCCTCAGCGGTGCGGTTGCGCCACAGGTGCGCGCCGAGGAGGTCAAGAGCCGTCTCGAGGGCGCGAAGCTGCACTCGCACGGCGCCTGCTGCTGGCCTGTGCCGCTGGCGTCCGTGGATACGGACTGGGCCGGACCAGGCACTGCACACTAGTAGGCGCGCGGCTGCGTCTCAGAGCGGAGGAGGCCGAGTTCACCCGAGATCAGCCGAGACCAGCCGAGATGAGTTCAGCAGGCGCGCTGCTGCTGCCTCTCTGGGCGGTCGAGTACGTGACGCACGGGTTGCCGTTCCGCGCGTTTGTGTCTGCGCTGCTTCCGGGCGGACAGCCTGACCGTGGCGGGCATGTCCACGACACGTCCAAGACAGGTCCGGGACTCTTCCCGCAGGCGACAACCCGACCGTGGCGGGCATGTCGCATGTGGCGCCCTGGGAGGTGGTCTACGCTGTGCCGAGGCCGGCCCCGTCCCCCCCCCCTTTCCCCCTTTACCCCCCTCCCCCCCCCCCTCCCTCCACCCCTCGCTGCGGCGGCACCAGGTGCGCCGCTACTGGCTCAACGAGCTCGAACGAGTCATGCCGCAGCTCGAGAGGCGAGACGAGGGCGGCCGGCAGCGCGGGCTGCCCTGCTTTGGCGCGCCTCGCCAAGCGGCGGACGCCGACGACTATGCACTGCTCGGCTTGTGCGCCGAGCCGCCCCCGACCGCCGCCGCCGTCGGCGCCGCCTTCCGTGCGCTGGCGATGGCGTCGCACCCCGACCAGCAGCCCGGGCTGAGCGAGAGGGAGCGCGCGGACGTGACGAGGCGCTTCCGCAGGCTGCTGGACGCGCACGGGCGGCTGCGGCGCAAGCACCGCGCTGACGAGCGGGGGACGAGTTAGGATGTGAGACAGGCCGAGGCGGCATCCACCATCCTGAGAGCGCGCGGTCGACGCTTCAGAGCCAAAAAATTGGAGTTTTCTCGGGAAAATAAAGAGGAAAAGAGAGGGTGCTGTAGAGAAAAAAGGAAAGGAAATAAAAAGACGGGGTGCGAGAGGAAAAGCATATACAGCCTAACCCGCCCCGCCCCGCCCCGCCCCCCCCACCGGACTAACCCGCGAGCCGCTCCCGGCTCCGCCCCCCGCCCAAGGCCCAACCCCCACCCGCGCCTGTGCCTGCCACCCGTGCCGCCTCCTCCACGCTCGCCCACGACGCCAGCCGCCCGTCGCCCGCCGCACCGCCGTCTCGCCCGCCGCCAATCAGAATTTTACGAGGAAACAATTCCAGGTGTCCCATCCCTCGCTTGGCTTGCCGCGTTGCCGGTGTTCTTTCTTTCTTCGTCTGCGTGTGTGGAGTGTGGGTTGGTTTTATTTTCCATTTCCGGGCGCGTTACCTCGCACGGCAGGTTCTGCCGGGCTCTGCGCTTCACCTGTGATCCTGTGTGAGCTCTGTGTGTGAAGTATTTTCTTCTCAATAAGAGGGCTCCCGCGGCGATCAACACCGCAACTCCTTTTCTAAATTTCACCACTCTTCTTACGCGCGACGACGCTACAGCCTACCAAACCTCCACACACTTCTACTCACCCTCGGACATGCTTTTGGGACGGTCGTTGCTCGCGCCGTTGGGAAACGCAAGGCGCACCTTTTTGTTTTGAAGACCTCGATACTTAGCGCACTGCTCGGGCGAGAGCTCAAACACGTGCCGCGTCTCGTCTTCGCCGCCGGCTACGCGCACAGACACAGTACGCGGCAGCGCCGACACGTGAACCCGCGTGCACGTCAGCGACGGGTCGCGCACGCCGCACGAGGCGCATGCGTGCAGCGGCAGCGCGTGCGCCATGCGCTCGTCGCTCCACTCGCCCAGCAGCCGCCGCTTCGTCTCGTCGGAGACGTGCACGCAGCGCTGCAGCAGCGCCGCCGTCTCGTCCTCGGGCCGCTCCAGGTCCATGACGACGTTCGTCGAGGCGTGGAAGCGCGTCTCCAGGTCGATGGCCGCCTGCTCGGCCGCGGCGAGCTTGCCCTGGTCGACGCACATGCCGCACACCGCGTGCGCCGGGCAGCCGCACTGGCCGCGTTGTGGGCGCACGGTCTTGGCGACCGCCGGCGCTGCGCGCCGGTCGTGCTGCTCACGCTGCCGGCGGCGCTGGTCGCGCGCCTGCCGATCGCGCGTGTTCGCGGCGGCTGCATCTCCTGCTCGTTTCGCTCGCACCCGAGCGGCGGTCGCCAGGCGCTTCAGGTCGGCGGTGCTGCGCGCGCGGCCGTCGGCTCTGCACAGCCACATGTCCTCCTCCTCGGCAGGCTCGCACGGCTTGCCGTCGAACTGCGGCGGGAACCCGCGACGACGCTTCGCCCAGGCCGGGCACGATGGTGCCGCGACGAGCGGCGTCGAGGCGACGGCCATCGATGGGTCCAGAAGACTTGGAGACACTTCTAAACCAAAAATCGAGCACAAGTGCGTTACATGGGCATGGCCGGCGTTTCTGCACCGAACGATCTTACTTTCGGCTATCGAAAGTGTTGATCTATAACAAGGCTGTGAAACGGCCGGCAAACCCCGCAAAGTGACCCGTTTTTACCCACCCACGCCCGTGCGCGCGTATCTTAGCTAAGGTACGCGGCCACACGCGCTGGCGCGCACGGCAACCGGGACTTACACGCGCGACACGAGGGACTGCGTATCCTCGCCTGCCTCGGGGGAGAATAGCCGCCCTCACCCGCTGCCGCGCATCGAGCTCGGCGGGGCCTGATACGTGTCATTCTGTGCCGGCGCGTATCTTAGCCAAGATACGCGGCCACACGTGCAGACGCGTATAGCGGTACTCGCGCCCACACGTGCAGCCGCCTATCTTGGCCAACATAGGCGGCTGCACTCGCAGCCGCGTACCGCGTGACATACACGCCCACGCATGGGGCGCGTATGTTCCCCTAGATAGGCGCCCACACGTGTAGCCGCGTATGTGAACATCCCTCTGTGCACGTGCCAGCGCGAGTCGCCTTCGCCGACGGGCCGTTTCACGCGCTCACGCCCGCCTATGTTGGCCAAGATAGGCGGCTGCACGTGTGGGCGCGAGTACCGCTATACGCGTCTGCACGTGTGGCCGCGTATCTTGGCTAAGATACGCGCCGGCACAGAATGACACGTATATCAGCCCCGCGCCGAGCTCGATGCGCGGCAGCGGGTGAGGGCGGCTATTCTCCCCCGAGGCAGGCGAGGATACGCAGTCCCTCGTGTCGCGCGTGTAAGTCCCGGTTGCCGTGCGCGCCAGCGCGTGTGGCCGCGTACCTTAGCTAAGATACGCGCGCACGGGCGTGGGTGGGTAAAAACGGGTCACTTTGCGGGGTTTGCCGAAACGGCCATCGTGCGCGGATTCTGGGCGGGCTACGCTGGTTTTATGCGGAGGCTACGGCCCCGTCGTGACTAGCCCCGTACCTGCAAAACGTGGCGCCGCGGCTGGAAGGACAACGTTCCCTGCTTCATGGCCGATCTATTCGGCAAGCGGGCGCGCGCCGCCGAGGGCATGGCCGCACGCGAAATGACGCTCGAGCAGACCGTGGCCCTCAACGAGAGGCTGCGCCGCGACGGCAAGATCATCGCCGTCGGAAGCGCTAAGAAGTCCAACGACGACCCCTTTGCCTCTGCGCCAGTGCTGCCCAGCCGAGCCGCCGCAGCGGCCAGTGCTGCCGCCGCCGCGCCGCCTGTCGCCCCCGCACCGCCGCCGCGGCCCGCGACAGCCGCCGCCGCTCCGAGCGTCGACATGCTCTCCGAGATTGCGATGAACGAGCTTCCGCTGGCGGTGCCTGGCTCCAAGCTGGCCGCGTCGGCGCACTCCATCCCCTCTGTGACGTCGCTCGACATGGCGCCGCCGCCTCCTGCGCCGGACGGGCCGGCGGCGGGCTATCGCGCGAGCGGAGCGCCCGCCGCGCTCGAACTGCGGGCGGGCGAGGTGCTCGGCAAGCACAAGTGGCGGGAGACGCTCGAGGGCGCGGTGGTTGCCACCAGCCGAGGGAGGGGCGCCGCCCTCGCGCCCGGCACGCCCCTCCGCAAGATTGTCGCGGCGCAGCAGGCGCAGCAGGCCCAGGCGGCCGTCCTCGCCCCCGCCTCCTTCCTCGTCGGCACCGCCGCGTGCGTCCTCGGCGCCGCCGTCGCCGCAGCCTCCCTGTGGGTCGCCGCGGGCAAGCCGGGGTATCGGCAGGCGGTCGACCGCGTGGCCGAGAAGAACGTGGCGCGGCGGGACCGGCTGCAGGCTGGCGCGGTCGGCGCGACCACCACCGCCATCAGCGCCGCGGCCGAGACGGCGGTCCTCGAGTCGTCGGTCGTGCGCGACCTGGCGCCGGAGATTCGGAAACAGTTTGGCGGCAAGGCCAAGGGCTGAGGGCTGGGAGGCGACGCGATCTTCTTGGGCCCTGGCGCCGCGCGAGAGAGGGCGAGGGAAGCGCGCGGCGCCGCTTGTACATTCTTGTGCGACCCCACCACCAGCGCCGGGGCAACCAGTGTCTAGAGTACATTCTCACTTCTCTATTTCTTGGGTCTGCCGTGCACCGGCCCGGTGACCCTCCGGTGTATGGTGTGTGTGCACGGGCGGGGAGCGTCAGGCTCTCCGCACGCTCTGTGGGTGTGGCTCTCGTCGAGTCTCTCACCTGTACTTTACGCGAAGCTCCTTCTGTGTACTGACGCATTTTCACCACACAAATTACATGATCCATATTGCGACAAGGTGGGCCGCGCGGAAGGCACGGCAATAAGCCAAAACGAACGTAAGAACACGGCGCGTCCGAGAGCAAGTCCGAGAGCGCTCGAGAGGACGAGCGGCGAGCGCGAGAGATTGCGGCATCCGAACGAACTTCTGGACGAAAAGAGAGCGGCGCATGCCAGGGCGAGAAGCAGGGCGACCCTGCGCCGCGCTACCTCCCATTCACGTCGATCACGTCGGCGTCGTCCCCCCGAGACTTCCCAGCCGAGGAGGGAGCGTCCGCCTTTGGCGGCGGCGCAGAGGCCTCGTTCACGCTGCGGCCAAGCTCGGTGTTCTCGAGCAGCCAGCCAATCGTGGCGGTAGGCACGACGTCGAGGCCCGGCAGGACCTCCTCCGCAAAGGCGAGGCCGGTGAGGATGGAGTTGCCGTAAAGGTAGTTCACGAGGAGCGCCGAAACGGGCGCCCACGCCAGGTCGGCTCCCTCGCCCGCGAGCGGCACCGCATAGCTGGCGACGCCAACGAGGTCGATGAGTATGCTGACGAGCAGCTTGATCAGCCGTTCGTTGTCGGGACCTGGCGACGCGCTGCACCAGACTGTTTGTACGCGTAGGGCCGCAGTCTGCTGGAAAAGGGCTCGCCGCGGCGGCTGCACGAAAGCAGCGGATGCAGCAGCTGGAAAGCGCTGCGCGTGCGTGGCGAGCTCGATGGGCCGTGCGCTTGGCGCAAAGGATGGCGTGAGCGCATGCGCGGTAGAGGTTGAGCAAAGCAGACAGAGGAGGAAGCGGCGCGCCATCGGCTCGGGCCGCTTGTTTTCTCTGTGGAAATCTTTTTCTTTCTTTGCTAATTGGACAGGCGCTTTCTTGAAGAAAAAGAAAAAGCGGCACCCGATGGCCTCCCACGGATCGGCGCCCGCCTGTCTGGCCTCTCGCCTGAGCAGCTCGTCGCCTTCGTCGACGAGCAGGCGCCCCTCTGGAGCGCCACCGCGCTGCGCGTGGCGGAGGAGCACGCCGCACGGCTCGCGGAGCAGCCCGAGTGGGTGCTCTCCGAGGTCCTCCTCTCGCCGGACCTCGCCCCGCACACCCTCGCCCAGCTGCCGACCAAGGAGCACGCCGTCAAGGGGACGTGCCGCGCGTGGCGCCGCGGCTGGAAGGAGACGCTGAAGAAGCGCGAGAGGCCGCGCCTGCTCGTGTTCGGCGGCCACGACAGCGAGGGTAGGACTGTCAACTCGCTGGAGCGGTACGACCCGTCAACGAATGAGTGGGAGGAGGAGGCTGTGGCGCCGATGCCTTCGACACGAAGGTATGTCGGCACGGCGGTGCTCGAGGGCAAGCTCTACGCGGCGGGCGGCCAGAGCGAGGCCGACAACGGCGCAACTTCCAACCTGGTGGAGCGGTACGACTTTGCCACGAAAGCGTGGGAGGAGGTGGCGCCGATGGCGACGCCACGCAAGGCTCACAAAATGGCGGTGCTCGACGGCAAGCTGTACGCCGTGGGCGGGTACGACGACCACTACCTCACCTCGGTGGAGCGGTACGATCCGGCGGATTAATCACGCCGTGGCGGCTCTCGACGTCAAACTCTATGCTATCCGCGGGTACGACGGTGGCTACCTCGCCTCGGTGGAGAGGTACGACCCGGCGACGAACGCGTGGGAGGCGGTGGCGCCGATGGCGACGGATCGGAGTCGTCACGCCGTGGCGGTGCTGGACGGCAAGCTGTACGCTGTGGGCGGGTACAACGATGACAACTTTAGCCACAGCTCAGTCGAGCGGTACGACCCGGCGACAAACGCGTGGGAGGCGGTGGCGCCGATGGCGGAGGCTCGGCAGGCTCACGGCATGGCGGTGCTGGACGGCAAGCTGTACGCTGTGGGAGGCGTCAGCGCCGACAACGACGACGACGACGACCCCGGCTGGCTCAGCTCGGTGGAGCGGTACGACCCGGCGCTGCACGCGTGGGAGGCGGGTACGCCCATCAGGTCGGCGCGTGCTGGCCATTGCATTGCCCTCCTGTGTTTCCAACCCCTCTCTGTGTGCGCGCGCTCCCCCGCGGCGGCCGACGGCGACGCCGCGAGAGCCAGTGCGCCTGCTTGGGATAGACTCTCGCCCCTCCTCTCTCTCACCCCTCGTACGGCTATGGGTGGTGGTCTGTTAACGAGTTAGATATGACACAACCATCACTGCAACGACTTGATAGCGACACACTGACGCATGAGGCATCTCGGACACAGACGGAGAATCTCTCTCTCAGACGGGATAGAAGCCGGCCACGAAAATCCATCGGCAGGAAATCGGAAGGACACGCCGGACATGCACAAGAGAGGACACCGCGTTGAGTGCCAGTCATGAGTGAGCGGCGGAATCAGAGCTCGGCCGATGGGTATAGCACCCGAGAAAAGAGGGCAAAGGCGGCCAGCGCACACACGGCGAGCCCCACGAGTCTGACAGACAACCGGGAGTCCACACGAGCGCACGGATAGACGCCTTCCGCGTTGGCATGTGTCGGCAGGCTCGGACCGGCGCTCCGCCGCTGCAGCAGCTGGGAGAAGGAAGACATGGGCTCAACGGCGTCGCTCGTCGGCAACCTTCCTCCTAGCTAGTCGCGTTCGTGGCTTATTTTTTCTTTTTTTTGAGAGCGCCTTCGTTGTTAATAGTACAAACCCAATGGTCCTCTGCGAGCGGTCCTTCGCTGCAGTCACACACACGCACACGCCACGCCGCACCGCGCGCCCGCCCACCGCCCCGCCCAGGCGGGAAAGAGGTGGGGAGATGGGACAGCGAAGGAGGAGCACGAGCACGTATGGGAGGGTTCAGTAATGCGCCACGCTGCCCGGCGTCTCTCACTTTCCGGGACAGCCCCGCCCTTGTGAGGCAGGAAAGTGACGGCTACCCCGTACGCGCCTGCCGCTCTACTCGTCGCCGACCGCCCATTCGCCCCTCCTCGTTCCCCCCTCGAATGCTCCGGACCCCGACAAGCCGCCCGACGTTGGGCCTCTGCCCCGCACGCTCCCGCCCCTCTGCCCCTCACACACACCCAGGCCCGACATGCACATACAAGACAAACCCGGCGTCCTGCTCTCAAAAGAAAAGAAAAAATGGGAAGGAGGAGACCAGCGGGGGAGACTCCCCGCCTATGCAACACCCCAGAGAGGGGCTGCCATCGCCGAAGCTGTGCCTAAGCATAACTCCCAAACCCGCAGCGGCCCGGGGGGCCTTGGGGGCAGCCTGCCGGACCGCTGTTGCACGGGGCTAAGCACCAGAAGGGGGATGGGCTATCGTCCGTGCTTCCCCTCTTTTCGTCAGAGTGGGACCTACGCCGCGCCGGGTAAGGGGCGCGCCCGGTCCTCGACGGAGCCGCGCGCCCCGAACGACCCAGGCGACGAGTAGTCGTCGTCGAACCTTCGGCATGTAGTCGCCCGTGGTTAGCGCCCCTCCTCCCTCGCCCGTCCCTACTCGTACTGCTCTCGAGGCGCCCGCGGCATCTCGCCGCCCATCTTCGGCCACGCGTTGTAGTCGAAGATGGCGGCGTTGCGCCTCGCGACGATGGCCGAGTGCACTTGCAGGAAGCGCTTGCGCTCGCTACTGACCCGCCATCGTTCGCTGTCGGAGGACGCCTTAGCGGCCTTGATGTCGAAGTTGGTGTTGAACCACGTCGCCGCCTCGTGCCCGATGCCGCCGCGCGTGCTCGCCGCCCACGTCATAAAGTCGCAGTTTTTGGCGTCGCACGCCGCTGCCTTGGCCTTCCGCTTCGTCTCCTCGGCGTAGTCGGTGGCTAGGCGCTTGCCGCTCGCCAGCGGGCGCAGCCTGTCATGGTGCACCGCGGTGACGCACGTTTTTCTTTTCTTATCTTTTCCTGAGCACTTCCTGAGCACTTCCCTGAACACAGCAACAACCCAACCTAGCCTAACCGCAAGTCAAGTCCGAACAGTGTCAAGCCCAGGCCTCTCAGTTCACGCCGGAATCGTGAACCGTGAACCGTGAACCAACTATAGCCCCCGCCCCGAGTCCGTGAAGCCCGAACCGTGAACCGACTAGCCCCCACCCCGAGTCCGTGAACCGTGATCCGTGAACCGACTCCTCCCGCGACACCCGCCGCGAACCGTGAACCGTGAACGAACCGAGTCTGGCGAACCGGCGGTGAACCGCCGGTTCGCGAACTGGGTTCGCGAACTGGTTCGTGAACCGCCCCCACCAAGTTCGCGCGGCGGTTCGCGAACTGGGTTCGCGAGAACTGGTTCGTGAACCGCCCCACCAAGTTCGCGCGGTTATCAACTAATTCTAACCGCGAACGACTGCGAATCAAACTCGATGGAGACCTACTTGCCGGGCTCATAGTCCTTCTCGAGTGCTTGCGCATGCACTCCAATGAAGGCGCGCGGTTCATGCGGAGAATCACCACACCATCGAGTACTCCTCCGCGTTGAGACTGAGGCGGTAACGGTGCACCACCTGCTTGTCGCAGAAAGACTCGGCCATGAGGGCGCCGATCTGGCCGGTCGAGCAGCTCCCGCCATCCCCGGGAGGAATTAAGCCAAACCGTGGCTGCTTCTCAAGGTCGCGGTAAATCCGTCCCATGTCCAGGTGAAGCTGGTCGATGAGGTCGTCTTGAGGATCGAAGTCGTACTTGTCGTTCTCCTGTGAACAAGCGCGATATGAGTTCGAAAGTAAAATCCGTAAGTTGTCGGCGTCGGAGGAGCGTGGGCGGCAACTGTATGTTAGAGCTGAGGGGCGACAGACGGCCGGCGGGCAGAGGCACAGGCTGTGGCACAGGTAGCCCATCATCTCGTCGAACTCCCCTCGAGGAACTCCCGCCACTTTGTTCCGGCTTTTCGCCGCGCCTTCGAATTTCTGGGTCTCGGTTCACGGGTGTGGTTCGCGAACTGTGGTTCGCGAACTGTGTCGGTGTGTAAGAGGTGTGAAAGTAAAGCTTGGTTCATGAACTAGTTCAGTGATTCACCCTCGTGCCTCGAACGAACCGACCGTGAGGAACTCTGAACCGTGAACTCGAACCGAGGTCCGAGCAGGACAAAAGGGCGAACCGCGAACGAACCGTGAACGAAGGGAGAACCAGGCGGGGCGGCGTCGGGCCGAACCGTGAACCGTGAACAGACTAGCACCCACCCGAGTCCGTGAACCGCGAACCGTGAACCGCGAACAGTTGTAAAAGGCCTGCTCGGCCGTGGCTTCTTCAGCCCGCGCGATGGCCGACTCGTCGTGTCTGCTCGAGTGGCACCCGTACGCCAAGGACCGGACGATGGGCCTCAACCACCAGCTCGCGTCGCTCTCCTGCGCGCTGGCCGAGGCGCACCACCTCGGCCGCACCCTCGTGCTTCCGCCCAGCATGTGCCTCTTCGGGCTGCACACCGAGCGCTGGTCGGGCTCCGACGCTCCTGGCGGACGGTGCGTGCCGATGGGCGACCTGTTCGACCTCGAGCTTCTCTCGCGGCTCGTCCCGGTGGTGCTCGGCCCGATTGAGAACCGGACCTCGCCGCAGCAGCTGCGCGGCGCGGTCGACGTGCGGCGCGGCCTCAAATCGGCAGAGGTGGCGAGCCAGCACCCGTGCGCGAGGGCGCCGGTGGTGCGGCGGCGCGTGGACAACTTTTGGTTCACGATGTGCTCGAAGCGCATCGCCGACTCAGACTCCATCATGGGCGCGCTGCACGCCGCGCTCGGCTCTCCTCCGTCCGCAAAGAGGCGAGAGCCGGGCACCGTAGGCGTCCCCTCCCTCGACCCCTCGGCCGGCTCTCGCACGCCGCCCCCTCCGCCCCTCCCCAGGCCGCTCAACGTCCTCCTCCGCTCGGGCCTCTTCTACTCTCAGCGCATCAAGCGCGCGGTCCGCGCCGTGCAGCGCTCCATCGGAGGCGCGTCCGGCAGATGGGATCCGGCAGACTCGGATTCCTTGCGCGCGCTGTCCCGTGAGAGGGGAGCGAGACTCTCCTCTCCTTCCCCTCGCATCACACCGCTGCCTCGTGACGGAGAGCAGACCCTCTGTTCTCTTGCGCCCGCACTCTCTTCTCGTGCGCCCGCACCACCACACCACTGCCCGCATGTGCATGTGGAGGCGGGGTCCCTTACCCCACTGGTGTGAACAGCCCCCGTCCCCATACTGCACACCCGGCGCCTATGGATGCTCGCCCGGGCACCTCTCGCCCACTCTGCCCCGCAGGCGAGTACTACTCGGTGCACGTGCGCCGCTCCGACAAGCTCACCGCGTGCGACGTCAGGCAACAGCAGGCCGAGCAGCGCTCGCGCGGCCAGCTCGACTACGTCGAGCCTCCGAAGGACGTGAGGGTCGTCGGCGAGTGCAAGGTGCGCGACCAGCTGACGCGCCCCGAGGGACTGCGCCACGCGCTCTCTCTCTGGTTCCCGGAGCAGAGCCGCGTCTACATCGGCAGCACCGAGCGGCCAGACTTCTTTGCGCCGCTGCGCTCGTCGTTCCGGCTCTACTTTGCCGAGGACTTTGGGCGCGCGCTCGCGAACGTGAGCAACAACTACGAGCTCTACGCCGTCGAGACGCTCCTCTTCTTCGGCTCGAGCGGCACCGTCGAGACGCTCGGCTACGCCGCCTCGTGGGTGCAGGACGCCTGCTTCCCGGCGGCGAGGCTGCGGGCCGAGTCTCGCTCAGGCCGGCGGGCGGCGAGGATGCTGCCGCGCCACGCCAACGGGAGCGGCGGTGTGCGAGTCGAGTGCGTCGACCGGTTCGGCCTGGTTGCCAACGGAGTGCGGTGCGCGCCGCCCTCTGCTGCCCGCGGGCAGGCGGGCGTACCTTCGGGGCGTGTCCGCTCGTCCTGACGGCTCCTGCTCCCGCGCGTGCAGGTACGGCCCCGCTTGCGTGGACAACCCGCCGTGCGGCAAGGCGATGCCCCCCTCCCCCCTGTGCCGCAGCCGCGAGGTGTGAACAGCGTCTCTTCACAGCACGGAGCGTGGACAGGCGATGTCCCTCGTTCCGCAGCCGCAAGGCTGCGGGAGGATGGCGAGCGGGTCGAGGGCGGCGGGGCGGGCGGCGGGGGGCGAGTGCGTTCTCTCGGCGCCGGGGCGGGGCTGGCGGCGGCAGTGGTCAAACACGTCGCTGGAGGAGGCTGGGCGGAGCCGGGCATCGGTGTGGGGTGGGCGGGGGGCCGGCGGCAGGGGCAGCAGGGGCAGCTTGGGCAGGGGCAGCGGCCGCCGCGGCGGCGGCGGCGGAGGCGGGAAGAGCGGCGGCGGCGGCGGGAAGAGCGGCGGCGGCGGCGGGAAGAGCGTCTCTGCCCTGCAGCGGCGCGCGCTCGAGTAGTGGCCCGCAAGGAGGGGAGCCTCTCACGCCCCCCTTCCCCCCCCGCGTGAGGGCAGGAGAGTGCTCGAGCTGGAGGCGCTGCTCGCTCGGAGAGAGCTCGACCTCACCCGCTACAAGAACCGGCTGCGCGAGCAAGAGATGGCGGCGACGCTGGCCCAGAGGGAGGCTGCCGCGTCGGAGGGCTCGCGGTGGAGGAGGATCGGCGGCGGGGAGGAGCAGCCGGCCCCGAGCACGAGGTAGGTGCCGTAACATCCGACCCCGATCACCTCTCTTCCCATACTCCCCTTCCACATTTCCACCTCACGTCGAGGCGGCGGGGCGGCGCACCGCGGGCTGAGGACCCCCCGCTCCCCCTGTTTCGTGTTTGCCGAGTCTCGAAATAAATAAATAAAACGCGGTCAAACAGCAAAAAAACAGAAACACTCTGAGACGAGATCAGATGGGCGATTTAGGGACATTGTCCCCGCCCTGCACGATTTTGGTGTGAGGGATCTTCGAATCCGTCCCCCTCACCCCTCGTCACAACCCGACGCCACGCAGAGATGAGAGAAGAGAGTTCCCCACACGGCCACAGCGTGTTTGCACCGAGCCACCGACCTTAGTTTTTTGCTTCGAGTGGCGTCATTTTATTAGACAGCTTTTGTGAAGTGGGAAGACTGAGGGAGAAGCCAGTCCGAGAACATAGTGAGACTAACCACTAAGAGTTGCCGCCGCTGAGCGGTGAGACTGGGAGAGTCGGTGTCCGCCCTCACTCACCTGCCCCCCTAGAGCTGGAAGCTGCCCCCCTCACCGGAGCAGGAAGCGCTCGCCCGCCCAACAGCCGAGCCCAAGCCCGATCAGCGCGCCGTACAGCTTCAGCCACGAGCCGTCCCTCCAGACCGTGTCGAGGACCGGGTAGGGGGGCACGCCCCTCGCCCACCAGCAGACCCGGTGGCTCCACCACACGTACAAGCAGCCGTACCCGACCACGAGGAGCAGGGACGGACCTGCCGGCAGCAGTGGAGGCAGCTCGCCCGAGTAGAGCGCGACCTCGAGCGGCACAATGAGCGGCATCGCCGTGTGCTGCACCTGGCGACGGGGTGGTGCTGCTGAGCAGAGCCCACCTGCCCTGCGGAGACGCTGGCCGACCACCTGCAGCAGAGCGTGGACGGCTGCCTGCGGCATGCGAAGAGAGGGCCGCAGCAGGAGGTTCACGGCGCTCTCCGCCGCAGCGTCGTCGGCGGGAAAGTCGCCCCGCGGGAACATATGCCACGGGTTCGCCACGGCGAGTGCCCAGAAGCCAATGCCAACCACGCACCCCGCCGGCCCGAGGACCTCGCGCAGCGCCCCGGCCATGCCGCGCCGGCCGAGGCAGGCGGCGGCGAGGTAGGCGGCGGCAAGGCAGTGGGTACAAACGGTGAGATGCTGGAACGACGATGTAAGTCGCATCAACCGGTACGGTAGCCCTTTCCTCAGCGCCGCTTCATCGCCCTGCTTGCGGCTGGGCGGGAGCATGCGCCGGTCCTCCGGGATCAACGCAAGGAGGAAATAGAGGCACCCGATCGGGCCGTGGAGGGCGAGATTGGCAGCCCAGAAGTTGGAGAGGGGCATAGCTGTTGAGCGCTGTCAGGCATCGTCCCGGCCTGGTGGTCCGGCCGACCGCCGAACTAGAAACCCGTCGTCTACATCGAAAACCCTACTCCACCTTCGGGGAAAAGCTATATACGCTGAAAATCTACGAAGAGTTCAACTTGCCCCACCGAAGAAAAAAAGAAAACTCCGGCGGCCGACCGACCTCCACCTCTCTTAGTCCCCTCGAGGTTCCGCATGGCCGTCACCGTCACGCTCGCTGCTACACTGTCCCTCCTCGGGCCGCGCGTTCGGCCCAGCCGACGCCGCGCCGCCGTGGCGTCGTCATCCGCAACCGGCGAGCTGCGCGGCCTCCTGCAGATGGCGCGGCTAAAGAATGTGCCGATGGGCGCGGCGCTGGTGGCGTTCGGAGCATACGGCGCTCGGCACGCTCCGCCGCGCCCGCCGACGATGGTGGCGTCGCAGCTGGTGCTCGGTGTCGCGACCACCACCATCGTGACCACTGGCTCGATGCTCATCAACGACTACCACGACTGGCGCGGCGGCGTGGACACGGCAGAGACCAAGCCGGGCCGGCCGCTTGTGACGGGCGAGGTGCGGCCAGAGACGGTCAAGCTTGTCCTCAAGTGGGGGTACGCGCTCCACCTGACGCTGCTCTGCCTCGTCGAGCCCGCCGCCCTCCGCCTGCTCGTGCTCGCAAACACGCTGCTCACCTACCTCTACTCGGTGCACCTCAAGCCCGTCACTGGCGTGAAGAATGCAGTTTGCGCCGGCATCATCTCGATGGCGCTCGGGCTCGGCGCCGTCGCGCGCGCCGCGGGCGACGGCCTGCACCCGCTCCGCGCCGTCTGGCGCCCGCTCGCCGCCGTGGCGGGCCTCATCTGGCACCGCGAGGTCCTGATGGACATCGAGGATGTGGAGGGCGACGCGGCGGCGGGAGTGCGCACGCTCCCCGTCGCCCTCGGCGTGGGCGCGGCGGCGAGGCTCGCGCTCGCCCCACTACTCGCCGCCGCCGCCGCCGCCGCTTCTGCCGGCGGAGCTCGAGGCGCCCTCGCCTCGAGCTCGCTGCTGCTGACCGGTGCCCTCGCGGTGCGGGCGCAGCTCGGCGGCTTTGCGCCCGCGCTCCTCACCCAGGCCATCGAGCTGTCGCCCTTCCTGCTGCTGGTCGCGCTGTCCGCGCTGACGTCCGCATGAGCCGGAGTCTAGAGAGCGCGCGGCGTCCTACAAATGTTTTTATCGTGTGGAGCATGATAGTTGATTATTGATGAAGTGTATTTTGCATGGGGCATGACCTTAGCCCCTTTATCTTTACTTATACGACGAAAAGCGGCTGTGTCCCGGGACCTGGCCTCTCTCGACCGCTATACGACCACACTCTACAGCACGGCAACGCAAGGGGAGTGCCGTGCCGTCACCATCGGCGCCACCTCCTCCCAAGCGTTTGTGGCCGGGTCATACCGCTCTACCGTCCTGCTGATCACGCCCTCGTCCTCCTCGTCCGCCTCGTCCTCGTTCTCGCCGCCCAGAGCATACAGCTTGCCGTCGAGCACCGCCACGCCGACAGCAGCCCGCGCCGCCGCCATCGGCGCGACCTCCTCCCACGCATTCGTCACCGGGTCGTACCGCTCCACCGAGCTGAGGAAGTAGCCGTCGTCGTCGTTGCCGCCCACAGCATAAAGCTTGCCGTCGAGCACCGCCACGCCAGGCCTGCTCCGCTCCACCGCCATCGGCGCCACCGCCTCCCACGCGTTCAACGCGGGATCGTACCGCTCGACCGAGCTGAGGGAGGCGCCATTGCTGCGCCCACCCACAGCGTACAGCTGGCCGTCGAGCGCCGCCACGGCGTGATAATTCCGCGCCGACGGCAGCAGCGCCACCGCCTCCCACGCGTTCGTCGCCGGGTCGTACTGCTCGACCGAGCTGAGGTGGCCGTCGTCGTCGTTCTTGCCGCCCACAGCGTACAGCTTGCCGTCGAGCACCGCCACGGCGTGAGTCTCGTGTGGTGTCGCCAGCGGCGCCACCGCCTTCCACGACTTCGTAGCCAAGTCGTACCGCTCCACCAGGTTGGAAGTTGCGCCGCTGGCCCATCCGCCCGCAGCGTAGAGCTTGCCGTCGAGCACCGCCGTGCCGACAACTAGTCGTGCCGTCGGCATCGGCGCCACAGCCTCCTCCTCCCATTCGTTCGTTGACGGGTCGTACCGCTCCACCGAGGTAACAGTCCAACCCCCGCTGTCGTGGCCGCAAAACACGAGCAGGCGCGGCCTCTCGCGCTTCTTCAGCGTCTCCTTCCAGCCGCGGCGCCACGCGCGGCACGTCCCCTTGACGGCGTGCGCCGTGGTCGGCAGCTGGGCGAGGATGTGCGGGGCGAGGTCCGGCGAGAGGAGGACCTCGGAGAGCACCCACTCGGGCTCCACGAGCCGTGCGGCGTGCTCCTCCGCCACGCGCATTGCGGCGGCGCTCCAGAGAGGCGCCTGCTCGTCGATGAAGGCGACGAGCTGCTCTGGCGAGAGGCCAGACAGGCGGGGGCCGATGCGGTGGGAGGCCACCGTTTTTTCTTTTTCAGAAAAACAGAAGTTTCAAAGAGAAAAACAATCGTTGGCGCGCCGCTTCCTCCTCTGTCTGCTTTGCTCAACCTCTACCGCGCATGCGCTCACGCCATCCTTTGTTTGCGCCAAGGCCCAAGCGCACGGCCCATCGAGCTCGCCACGCACGCGCAGCGCTTTCCAGCTGCTGCATCCGCTGCTTTCGTGCAGCCGCCGCGGCGAGCCCTTTTCCAGCAGACTGCGGCCCTACGGCTACGCGTACAAACAGTCTGGTGCAGCGCGTCGCCAGGTCCCGACAACGAACGGCTGATCAAGCTGCTCGTCAGCATACTCATCGACCTCGTTGGCGTCGCCAGCTATGCGGTGCCGCTCGAAATGTGGTTCCATCAAAAGATTTTTTCGGCAATGGCGCGGGGAGCTATCCTAGTCGAGTAGGTGTGTTGTTTGTTTTTCGGTGGAACAGGCCCGCTGGAGGCGGCAAGGCATGATGGCAGTCGTCGGGGCAGCGCATGCGCTGCAGCCGATCGAGGAGCCCGAGCACGCGAGCACTCGTGTTCTCTCTACTAGACTACGTGCGCCAGTCGTACACGGGCGCCTTCAGCGCGCGCCGGACCCGCTCGTACGCCGCGTTTAGCGCGCTCATCCGGTCCTGGTCCTCCCGCTCCCTCCCCTGCTCCCCGCCCTCCGCCAAGGACGACCCCTGAGCCCGCCCCTCCCCCGCCCCCTTGCGCGCGCCTCTGCCTCGCCCGAAGAGCCCCCGCCTGCCCGCGCCCGCCGCCTCGCGGCCTCGCCTCAGGTCCGGGTGGATCTCGCGCGCCCGCGCCACGCGAGCACGCCGCAGCTCCGCCTGCGTGATAGCCGCCGGCCGGCGCGACTGCAGCCCGAGGGTGGCCAGCTCCGCCTGGAGCCCCGCGAGCCTCTGCCGCCGCACCTCCGCCTCGAGCTGCGCCGGCGCCTTCTCGAGCGCCTCGAGGGCGCGCAGCGCGTCGCGGCGCCACACACGGTCGAGCCTGTTCACAGGTAGACGCGTGTGAAGAGAGGCTTCTCGCAGCACGTCGCTGCGCCAGGCGGCGGGCAGAGCCTCTTGGCCGCCTCCTCGAAGGACCGGCCGAAGGGCTCCTCATTCTCCTCCTCCTCCTCCTCCTCCTCCCGGGCTGTGCTCTCCTGCACGCCGCTGCTGCGGCGGAGGCTCTGGGAGAGCTCTGCCCAGAAGTCCATCGCGCTGCTCGAGAGCGTCACCTCCCTCGAGAGGCGGCGCAGCTCCTTCTTGTCCTGCAGGAGAATTGGTGCGTGAGATGGGCGATGCCGTGAGTGATGCAGATCTAGATGGAGGAGCACGCCTCGAGCAGCGCCTCGAGCCGGAGAAGCGTCTCGGCGTCCTTGCGCCGGCTCAGCCGCCGCTTCAGCCCGCCCAGCACGCGCCCGAGCAGCCGCTCGCTGTCTTCCGCGCTGTCGCTGGCCTCGGGGAAGAGGTCGATCAGACGCTTCGCGGGAGCCGCATCGATGCGCTTTGCCGGAGCCACATCAACGGCAGCGGCAACGCCATCTGACACAACCACGCTGTCGGGCACGTGGTAGAGATCAAATAGCTCGCTCCGACGCTGCTCCTCGTCAAAAGGCTGGCCGGAGCCGTCGAGGCGCATGGCGATCGAGGCACGACTCGTGAGGGTGCATCTCGGTGTCGAGAGGGATGCGAGCAACAGGGATGCGAGCAACAGCATACACGTGTGGGATTCTGATAAAAAAGAAACCCGGTGATTCCAGACCGAAAGCTGACCGTTCTTCCTTCCTACATACATACATGCAACTGCATGACGCGCGTCTCCCCAGCGCGCGGTCCGCGGACCGTCTCGCGAGGCGGGGGCCGGGGGTGGGCAGGCAGGGGGTGCCCTCTCTCGGTGGCCACCCGGCGCGCGGTTTTTCGTTAATAATATTAAATAAACTTCCCCGTTGCGCGTTGGCGGCCTCTGTCCTCAGAGCTAGGACGAGAGGAGAGACAGAGGACACAGAGCCGACGTCATGCCAAACATGAGAGTTTCGTGTGCGACACTTTCACCCTCGGCGTCCCCGCGCCCTCTCAGCTGCCGCCGCCCTTGGCTCGCGCATAGAAGGTGCTCATCTTCACCGTCCGTCCGCAGGGCAGCTTGCGCGACACCGAGACGCACATCTCGCCTGAGCCCACGACCTCGCGCCGCGAGACAAATGTCGGCTGTTCGCCGCCACGGCACGGCGAGCCGTGCTCCGCGCCGCCGAGCGCATGTGAGTAGGTCTCGCGCATGTCGAGCCCGCCCGCGCGCGGCGTGACTCGCGTCTCCACCGGCAGCCCGCAGAAGCCCTTGCCGCGCTGCGGCGAGCCGTCCAGCACCATCGTGTACCGCTTCGTGCCGCGCAGATCCGCGATCGAGAGGTGGACGACCTTGCCCTGCATCGATAGCACCTGCGTCTGTCGCCCGCGCACCGCGGCGCGCCGCTTCACCCACGGCACGCCCATCGCCTCCTCGAGAAACGCGTCCGCGCCGACGATGCGACACTTTGTCCACGTGCCGAGGTAAGGCGCCTCGCCCGCAGACCCGCCGGACCCGCGGCCACGCAGCCAGGTCGTCGGGTTGAGTGCGCCGGCCGCCGTCGCGACCGCGCCATCCAGGGCCCTCTCGAAGCGGAGCATTGGCTCGGAGAGCGCCCGGAGCGGCGGGCGGAAGGCTGGCAGAGCGGGCCGGCGGGCGTCGGCTGCGAGCGGCGCGGCAGGCTGTGAGCGGGTGGAGGAGCCACGCACTGGAGGAGGTGCCAGGAGGAGAAGCCAAGCACAGAGCGCGGGACGACTCATATGCATGTATGGTGTGGTTGTGTGCGCGGTCTCGGATCTCGCTCACAAAGAAAAACCCGGTTTGCCGCCAATTCTCCGCGAAATGTTTATTCATTCGGCGCTACGCCGCGTATGGTTTGATTCTTATTTATTCAGTTGCGTGATGAAAAAATAATAAAAAGGACCCGACGACCTAAGACTTTCGAAATTGTTGGCTGCCCTCTAAGGATCTCTCTCAGGATAGACTAGCGTCTACAAACAAAACACCCCCCTCTAAGTCTAAGAACCCCCGTTGGCGTTGCTCGTCTGGCAGCCAGTCATCGCACCACCACCCTTGGCAGCACAAAACTGCGCCAGACGTCCGCCAGTTCTGGAGCCGCTCCCTCGCGGCTGTCGAAGCGCTCCTCGTCCCAAGCGATCAGGTAGCCCAGCCGCATCACCTCGACCGCCCGCTTGCGAGCCGCCTCCGGGAAGAGCTCGTGAGACTGCGGCGACCACTCCGCCGCCTTGAGGATGAGCCTGCCCACCTCCACCGCCTCGGCCGCTGGCTGCAGGTTGGCCGGCCTGGGGGAGGGCAGAGGTATGTCAAAAGAGAGGATTTGGCGAGTCGGGGAGAGACCATTGCATAGCGCGCCGCAGCGCGAGGGCCTTGGCCTCGCCCGCCACGCGCACGCCGAAGCGTCCCGTCGAAGCGTTTGCGGAGATGACGACGCCGACCTTGCCGTTCATCGAGGGCCGCGAGACGAGAGAGCGGATCTCGACTGCGGAACCGACTGCCGCAGCGGTCGGATCCGACTCGCCCCACGAGCAGAGGACGCGCGCCCGCTCGAGGGCCGAAGGCTCGCCGGCTAAAGAGTCCGCGCCGCCGCGCAGCAGCGCCCGCGCCCGGTCGACGGTGAGCGCCTGCGGAAGAGGGACAATGAGCATGAGGACAACACAATCACCTTCGGCCGCTAGTCTCGGGCACGCCTCGAGGTGCTGGAGCGGTGTCCAGCTGCGGCTGGCGACCAGCCAGGCGGCGAGGTCGGCGTTGCCTTGGAAGTTTGCGACCGCCTCGGGCGTGCGCCAGAAGGGGGTTGCGGCGCGGGAGGCGCCGTAGGAGGAGATGAGCTTGGCGACGTCGAGGTGGCCATTGTAGCACGCGGCGAGCAGCGGCGTGACGCCGCCGTCGTTGGCTTGGTCGGCCACCGCGCCAGCCTCGAGAAGCAGCCGGGCGCACTCGAGCTGGCCCTGATTGCACGCGACGAGCAGCGGCGTGGCGCCGTCCTCCTTGGTTTGGTTGACCGCTGCACCAGCCTCGAGAAGCAGCTGGGTGCACTCGAGGTGGCCCTTCTGGCACGCCATGTGCAGGGGCGTGGTGCCGTCATCGATGGCTTGGTCGACCGCCGCGCTGGCCTCGAGAAGCAGCCGGGCAATGTCGGCGTGGCCCTCGAAGCAGGCCATGTACAGCGGCCAGAAGCCGCCCTCCGTGGCTTGCTCGACCGCCGCGCTGGCCTCGAGAAGCAGCCGGGCGATCTCCACGTGGCCGCGCTGGCACGCCATGTACAGCGGCGTGATGCCATCCTGCGTGGCTTGGTTGACCGCCGCGCCAGCGTCGCGCAGCAGCTGGGCGCACTCGAGGTGACCCTCCGCGCACGCGATGAAGAGCGGCGTGGCGCCATTCTGCCTGGCTTGGTCGACCGCCGCGCTGGCCTCGAGAAGCAGCTGGGCGCACTCGAGGTGGCCCTCCTGGCACGCGATGTACAGCGGCGTGGCCCCTCGGTGCTGTGCTTGGTTCACCGCCGCGCTGGCCTCGAGAAGCAGCCGGGCAATGTCAACGTGGCCATTGAAGCACGCCGTGAACAGCGGCGTGCCGCCATCCTGCATGGCTTGGTTGATCGCCGCGCTGTCCTCGACGAGCAGCCGGGCGATCTCGAGGTGGTTGTTCTGGCACGCCATGAACAGTGGCGTGGTGCCGTCGTTCATCGCTTGGTTGATGTCAGCGCCAGCGTCACGCAGCAGCCGGGCGCACTCGAAGTGGCCGAACTGGCACGCAATGTACAGCGGCGTGGCGCCTTGCTCATCGGCATGATTGACCGCCGCGCGGGCCCCGAGAAGCAACCGAACGCACTCTAGGTGGCCGTTCTGGCACGCGATGCACAGTGGCGTGGAGCCGTCCTCCTCGGCCTGGTCGACGGAAGCGATGGCCTCGAGAAGCAGCCGGGCAATCTCGCCGTGGCCCTCTTGGCATGCGATGAACAGCGGTGTGGCGCCAACTTCATTGGCCTGGTTGACCGAAGCGCCAGCGGCGAGGAGCAGGCGGGCAATGTCGACGTGGCCCTCAAAGCACGCCTTGTACAGCGGCGTGGCGCCGCTCGCCTCGGCCTGATTGATCGCCGCGCCGGCCTCGAGGAGCAGCCGGGCGCACTCGAGGAGGCCCATCGCGCATGCCATATACAGCGGGGTGCAGCCGTCCTCCTGGGCTTGGTCAACCGCCGCGCTGGCCTCGAGAAGCAGCCGGGCGGTCTCGACGTGGTCCTCCTGGCACGCGATATACAGCGCGGAAGCGCCCCCGCCATTCGTCGCCCCGACGCTCGCGCCGCCGTCGAGCAGCAGCCGCACCGCCTCGGCCTGCCCGTGCCGAGCGGCCCAGGTCAGCAGCGTGTCTTGCCTCTCGGTGTCGTGCCGCGCGTCGAGCTGGGCCGCGAGCGACGTGCCGTGCGTCCGCCGACCGTCGGAGAGGAAGGCGCGCAGCGAGGCAAGGCTGCCCCGAGCCAGGTCGGCGAGCACGGTCGTGCTGGCCCCGCTCATATATACACACAAACATGAACGCTTTCCGTACGTCCTCTGAACTAGAACTTTGGCATTCGGGCGGTCCTGTTCCAGCTCCGCTGGGGCCCCGGGAATCATGCCGTCAAAGAATTTTCACGGAAATTTACGACAAAAGGCGTCAAAGAAAAACGTGGGGCCTCACGTGCTCCAAGTGCTCCGCACCGATCTCTCAACACACAAGCACAACTCGGAGCACGTCTCACAAAAGCCGCGGATCCGGAACCCCACCCGATGTCGATATCCGAAAGCGAGCGGAGCTGTCACACAGCTTGATTCACAACAGCGCATCCTCAAACAAGAGCCTCTGGCATACGCCGGCCCCACCTTCACTCCCGGCTCGCGCCGGCGCCGCGGACGCTCGCCCTGTACGCTGCAGCCTCCCTCGCCTCGGCCGCGGGTGTACGCTCCTCCTCGCTGGCCGCGTCGTGGATCTGAGCGAGCGCGAGCATCCCGTTGTCGGAGTGCTTTTGGATGTGGCAGTGCACCATCATCAGGCCCACGAAGGGCGCGACGAAGCGGATCGTGAAGCCGACGTCGCCTAGAGAGGGCGGCGGCCGTCGAGAGGCGTCTTGCGCGAAGCGAGGGAGCACTCGGCGGAGCTATGGGGAGATACGGGAGATACGGGGAGATGTGTACGGGGAGCACTCGGCGGGGAGGCCACCGTACAGCGGCAGCGTGTCGCGCCTAATGGTCCATTCATGATGATGAGAAATCAACCAGTGGCGATTGGCCAGAGGAGCGGCAGCATGTCGCGCCAGTCGCCGACTGCCACGAGCGGCTCATGCTCCGCCTTCACTCATTCCCCAATGATCAGTGGCCGCCATTCACAGCTTCGCCAATCCGCGGCGGGGTGCGTGCTCCGCCTTGGCGGGCCCCTGCATGCGGACGTCGACCACCTGGAAGTGCGTCATGTGCTGGTGGTACGGATGCGTCTTCGCGCCGGTGCCGGGCGCCTCGGCGCCGGTCAGGCGCCACTCGACCACCGAGCCGAGCGAAAGGTGCCTAGACGGTTCCGAGAAGGTTCGGAGAAGGTTCCGGCACGGCGCCTCTCATCTCGGGTCATCTCTCGCCAGTCCGCGCGAGAGACGTTGAAGATCTTGTCGTTGATGACGTTGCCGCCGCTCGAGTCGGAGAAGGCGAGCTCCTATCGGAAGGTCATCTCGCGTCATCTCGGGTCATCTCGGGTCATCTCGAGTCGGAGAAGGCGAGCTCCTATCAGAAGGGTCCGAGACGGCTTCGGGAGAGTGCAGCCGAAGCCCCTCCCCCTCCCACAGCCGCGGAGAGCTCCTCGCGCTGCGACACGTCTGCCCCGCGCAAGTCGGGGTAGTAGCTGGGCGGGCCAGGAAGGGAGTCTGGCAGCTTCGCCATGCCCGGGGCGATCGCCGCCGCTCTCTCCTCCTCCGCCGCCGCCGCCCCCTCCTCCACCGACCCCGCGTCCTTCTCCGCCGCCGCCTCCGCCTTGGCCGCCACGAAGAGGAAGCTGCCGTCCGAAGCAAGCTTCTGACCCGCCTGCGACGCGCCCGCCCCCACGGCCGCCCCCGCGCCCGCTGCCACTGCCGCCGCCTCCTCCTCCGCCATCTCGGCCTGGGGGGCCGGCACCACCGCCAGCACCGCGACGGGGTGGCCCGCCTAAGTCATCAATCAGTCGCAGTCATTAACGAGCTCTGGACCAGCGCCGCGACGGGGCGTGGCCTACCGGCATCACGCCGCCGAAGGCTGCCGACCCCAGGCTGCCAAACTCGTGCGTGCCTTTGAGGAGGTATGGCTGACAGTGAGGTGAGAGGCATTGGTGTTGCCAGACTGCCCGTCTCGAGCGTGCCCGGCTCTGTGCAGCCAACCAGCACGTCTGCCCGACCGCCCGAGGGGAGCAGCAGCGACGGCACGTCGCGCGGCGACCGCAGCCAGACCCCGTCCCAGCCGAGCAGCACCTGTCATCTCGCGTCATCTCGCGTCATCTCGCCGTCACTCGGGCAATCAGCCCAGACCCGGCCGAGCAGCACCTGCCGACGTCAGGCCGTTGGCCAACATGTCATGGACGTGTCGTGGACGTGTCCCGGACGGGGACACGACGGGCTCAGTGCCCGCGGCACCGTGCGGCATCCGGCGTCGCTCACGCGCGCCTCAGAGAAGCCCAGCCGCAGCCCGCTGAGCGAGCTGTCCTAAGGGTGCGTGTGGGGGGGGGGGGATGATGATCGTGGCTCATCTCGGCTCATCGCGACTCATCTCGGCTCATCTCGGCCCCTCCTGCACGGAGTTGATGAGGCGGAGCCGGAGCCACCCGCCGGCAGGCAGGGCCTAGAACCGCTGAAGACTGATCAATACACCGGCTAGAAATGAGGACTCGCCCGCCTCCGGCAGGCTGGCCTCGTACAGCGCCTCTCCTCCGTTCACGACGAGCAGCTCGCCTTGGAAGCCGGACGGGCTGGCGATGTAGTTGAGTCCATAATTGATTCCATCATTGAAGGATTTGATTAATTCCTTGGAAGCCCGACGGGTTGGCGATGGCGGGGTCGATGGCGCTGGTGCCCTTGTTTGCGAGGGTGGCGCCGAGGTAGTTCTTAGACGAGGGGCGGAGGTCGAAGGCCTGGAGCATTTCTGATTGTGATGATGGTGTCGAATGATGGTGGTGATGATTGGTACCAGCGTCAACAGCTCTCGGAGGAGGGGCGGAGGTCGAGAGCCTGGAGCAGCGCCACGTGGCTGGCAGCGACGGGCAGCCCGAGCGCCTCCTCCTGCGCCTCGTCCTCGATGAGGAGGCCGCCTGCCGTGGACACTTGCATGTCGGGCACATGTGCATGTGCATGTGCATGTTGTGCATGTGCATGTGGCTTGGACATTTAGCGCCATGTGCTGTGCATGGCATGTTGTCATGTGCATGGACGGGTCACGGACGCGCGTCATGGACGTGTCGCGGACGTGTCGCGGCCTCTCTCGGCGATGCTGAGGCCGCCTGCCATGCCTCCGTACATCTGGACCCACGTCGACCCGTCGGCGTGCGGGTGGTAGAAGAGGAGCGAGCTGCCCGTCTGCGGGTGGAGCAAGTACTCATACAGCTTCTCCTAGGCGCGACGCAAGACGTCACTGCAGCCTCCGCGGCAGCGGCGAGCCGACCCTGCGGCCGTCTCTCTTCCTGCCCCGGCGACACGCGGGTGAAGGTGTCGTCGCTGACCGCGTCGGCGTAGATGCCGTGCAGGTGCAGGTTCGTAGTGTTCGCCTGCCGCAGCCCGTTCCCCTTCCCGTCGTTTGGCGACGCGACGTCTGGCCCGAGCCGGTTCCGCAACCGCAGCCTGATGCGGTCTCCCGGCCTCGCGAGCAGCAGCGGTGCGGGAGAGACGCCGTTGTACAGGCGCGTGGCGAAGGAGATGCCGCGCGGGAGGAGGAAGACTCCCTCCGTCACATCGAGCGTGTAGTTGAGCCAACCTCCCACAGACCTCACGACCTGCTGCGCCTCGCCTCGGACGACAAACTGCACGCCGGTGGCCGCTCCGCTGACAGCGCCGCGAGGCCGGGCCGCCGGCTCCGAGCTGGCGGCCGCCGAATCGGTTCTCCGGGCCGCCACGACGCCACCACTCCTCGCGAGCGGCGACGCAGCGAGCGCCGCGACTGCCGCCAGCGAAGCCGCCACCGCGAGCGCCGCCACGCCGCAGGCGCAGCGGCGAGGCCTCTCGAGGTCAAGCCGCGTGTACCGCGTCCGCGTCGCGAGCGAGGCGTGGTTGGAGGCCATTTGGTGTGGCGCGAGTCTCGGCCGAAGGACCTTCCAGGAATATGCTGTGGCCAAAAACAAAAAAAGAACACCCCGTGGGAGGTGAGTTGTTTTGTTGTAAATTCAAGAAGCTAAAAAAGAAACCCGGCGCGGTCAAAGGCGAACAACGGCCGGTAAAGGGATGGCGACGACAACGGCAGCCTCGAACCGTGGACGCAGGGCTGGGACAAAGGTGCGCTGCAAGCCGTGGACGGCGACGGAGGAGGCACAGCTCCGAGCGCTGGTTGACGCGGGCACCAAGGCGCAGCAACAGAAAAAGGCGATGTGGGTCGAGATCGCCGCACAGTTGGACAACCGCACCGTGGCGAGCGTCGAGCAGCATTTCTACTACATGGAGCGACAGGAACGCGCCAAGAGCGGCACGCCCGTGACCGGCGGCGGCTCCGCACCGAAAACAAAGTCAAAGGTCAGCGCGTGCGCCGCCGCCCAGCCGTCAGCGTCCAAGATTGCCAAGGTGGAGGCGACAAAGGGCCGGCAGATCAAGGTCGAGGACGCCCTCGCGTACGTCGACCGGGTCAAGATGAAGTTCGAGAAGCAGCCGCATATCTACGACCAGGCGACTTTTCCGCCTCTCTCTGCCCCCTCACCTCTCACCTCGCAACGCCTCTCCTCCTCTCCCCCGCACGGCCGCCCCGCCCCTCGCCGCCCCTCCCTCTCCTCCCCTCCCCACCCTCTCCTCCTCCTCCGCCTCCTCCAGTTCCTCGACCTCCTGGAGGAGGCGGAGGCGCAGTCGATCGACACGCCCGGCGCCCTAGACCGCGTGCTGCAGCTCTTCCACGGACACCGCGAGCTCATCCTCGGATTCAACGCCTTCCTCCCGCCGGGGTACAAGATCGAGTTCTCCGACGACGAGAAGGCGCCGCGCGTACAGCTCAAGTACCCGCACGGCGTCACCGGCCCTCAGCCGCAATACAACCCGCTGGCGCAGCCGCCCGCGGCGCCCGTGCCATCCATCATGCCGCAGCAGCCGCACCCCGCCGCGTCGCTACCAGGTGAGTGATGACGATTACGACGACGAGGCGGAGGAGTACGTGGACGAGGACGTGGCAGAGATCATGCGACGGCTCGAGAAGTGCGACGAGGAGGGCCGCTGCTTTGAGTGCATGCGCAAGCACCGCGGAAACTCGCTGCCCTACTGGATCCGGCACCCGGCCGATGAGATGCAGGAGATCCAGGACGTCGAGTTCTGCTACGATTGCTACGATCGCGTGCGCAACGCGCGCCGGCGCGAGCTGGGCATGTCGCATTTCTCTGACGACGACGGCTGCGACTCTGACAGCGACGACTCCGATCGCAGCGACGCCTCTTGGGATTATTGAGAGACCCGCCACGGCGCGGGCTCGCTCGCTCGCTCGCTCGCTCGCTCGCTCTCTCTCTCTCTCTCTCTCTCTCTCTCTCTCTCTCTCTCTCTCTCTCTCTCTCTCTCTCTCTCTCTCTCTCTCTCTCTCTCTCTCTCTCTCTCTCTCTCTCTCTCTCTCTCTCTCTCTCTCTCGCTCTCTCGCTCTCTCTCTCTCAGGGTCGCGCCGCGGAGCAGAGCAAGAGGCGCGACAGCTGAATCGCAAGCGTTGCGGAACGCGAGAAGATCGCGTTTAAGGTTTCAGGAAGCATTTACCGTAACGGTGAATTCTTTTTCCCACTTGGCCCGCTATCAGGCCTCCAAATCGCGACGTTTGAGCGCAGCGCACGCGTTCCCCAGCCCCACGGGTCACGCTCGCGCAGGAGTGAGGAGACTTGCGTGGAGACGCGAGGGTTGCCCCCCCCCTGCCCCACCACCTCGTGTCTGTGTGTGGAGAAGTTTACCTTACCTTACCTTACCTTGCGGGGAATGCGGCGAGGTGCTGTGCGTCCGTGTGTACTCGCCGAGGGCATCGCGCCGCAAACCCCGCGCATTCCGGTTTCCGCTCATTCCGCCCCAGCAGAGGCTGCAGCCGATGCGACAAAAACACCACTGTAAAGCGGTGACGATATAAGCGTGGGTGGGCTTGCTTAGCAGAGAGCAAAAAAGCAAGAAAATACACCCACATAGTATTAGACCCACGAAATCCGAGACCCCTCCCCCCCACCCCGACCCCCCCACCCCCTTTGCTCCCCTCCCCCCCTCGGGAGGGCCGAAGAGAGGCGCCCGTGGGGACCCCGCAATTCCCTTCCCCCCTCGGAGAGGGGGCCGCACGGAGGCGTACCCCGGGGGCCCCGCTCTGTCCCTCGCATAGCGGCCACTCTTCGGATCGCTGGTCGAGCGACCCGGGGGATGCCCCGCGCGCCTGACCCAGGCGCGAAAAACGAATCTGCGAGGCGAGGCCGCTCATGCGGCCCGATGGGGAGGAACGGGGCGGACTGCGGGGATCGGCCTCTTACACCGCCCTTCCTTGCAGCGAGCCCCCTCCAACCCACCCGCGCTAGGTCTCGGGTTTGACGCATGCATGGGGTCACTCCCGCGAAACCCGTGAACTAGCCGGGGCAGTCGGACGGAGAAGGGGCAACTCCGTGCACTGACGGTCGGCCGTCAGAAACCACGCCTGTGTGGATCGCGTCACACCAATCCTCGCTACCCAACGCGGCCAAAGGATATCCACCTCGAGAACCTCGTGATTCTGTGTGAGATCTGTATCTTGGTTTGCCAACAACAAACCTAAAACCCCGAGACCTCGAGAAGGCATGCTTCCACCTGAGTGGCATGGCGTCCGCCGCCAGCAAGCGCGCCCGCACCGGCGAGGACGCCGAGGAGGGCGAGGAGCCCGTGCCGGTCGCGGGTGGCTTCGAGGCGCCCATCTTTGGGCAGCGCGCTCCCGGCCAGGTCACCACGCTGGCGCTCGAGGGCGAGGACGGCCCTCTATCGCTCAGTCGCGTTGGCGTCGCGAGCGACCACGCGGGCGCCTGGTACGTCGCGACCAAGGACTCGCTGCTGCACGTCCCGGCGGCCAGCCCAGACGGCGAGACGGGAGCGCGCTGTTTGTGGCGGACCTCGGCAACCACAAGTCCGGCGAATTGAGGTGGCGACGGGAGAGGTGACGACGCTCGCGGGCAGCGGCGAAGAAGGCGACGCGGATGGCGTGGGCGACGCGGCACAGTTCAGCTACCCACGTGGCATCGCCCTCAGCCAAGACGGCGGCGCGCTGTTTGTGGCGGACTTAGGCAACCACAAGATCCGGCGGGTTGAGGTGGCGACTGGCGCGGTGACCACGCTCGCGGGCAGCGGCGAGGATGGCGACGCGAATGGCGTGGGTGACGCGGCGGAGTTCGACTACCCACGTGGCATCGCCCTCAGCCAAGACGGCGGCGCGCTGTTTGTGACAGACCAAGGCAACCGCAAGATCCGGCGGGTTGCGGTGGCGACTGGCGAGGTGACGACGATCGCGGGCAGCGGCGAAGAAGGCGGCGCCGATGGCGTGGGCGACGCGGCGCAGTTCTACATCCCGTCTGGCATCGCCATCAGCCTAGACGGCGGCGCGCTGTGTGTGGCGGACCTCGCCAACCACAAGATCCGGCGGGTGGAGGTGGCGACGGGAGAGGTGACGACGGTCGCGGGCAGTGGCACCAGGGGCAGCGCTGATGGCGTGGGCGACGCGGCGCAGTTCAACGGCCCAGCTGGCATCGCCATCAGCTCAGACGGGAGCACGCTGTTGGTCAGTTCGGGAGATGGCTTCCGCCAGGTCTGCGTGGCTGCGCCTCCTCCGCCTCCCTCCTTTGCCCCGATCTTTGTTCCGCCTTCGAGCCTTGCAGCTGACCTCGCAAAGACGTGGGGCGACAAAACCCTCCCAGAGGGGAAAGTCACCTTCCTGGTCGGCGACGACCTGGAGCGCATCGAGCACGTGAGCAAGAACGTGCTCTGCGCCCGGTCCCCGGTCTTTCGGACCATGTTTGGCATCGGCATGAAGGAGCGCGACGCCGCCGAGGTCACGGTGTCCCACACCGACCTCGCCAGCTTCACTGCCCTCGTCCGCTACCTCCTCACCGACCAGTTCGACCTCGGCGAGGAGGAGGGCGGCAGGGCGCAGCGCGCGCTCGACTTGCGGGAGCTGGCGCAGATGTACCAGGTGCCGCGCCTCGAGCTGTTCTGCGCGCAGGCGCTGCAGGAGAGCGTCGCGCCGGCGACCGCCGTGCCGCTGCTCGAGGCGGCGCACACGCGTGGCCGACCACGCCGCCGAGGTGCGGGCGAGCGGCGGCGTGGAGCAGCTGCGCGACTTTGGAAGGCGACGCGCTCGACCAGGTGGCGGAGCTCAAGGGCACGATGCACGCGCTCCGCGTCGCGGAGAGCTGAGAAACCGTAGCGATCAGGGTATGACACAGGTCAGCACACATCCGTCACAATCAGGGTCCAGGGATATCCGATATCCCGCACGGAGGACGGAGCCCTGCGGCGTACACATTGTGGTACGGAATTCAACATGTGCTGAGAGAGGATGTGAAAAAAGTCTCTTGTACCTTGACCTCTAAAAAACACACGTAGAGCGTAGAGTGTTACGTCACGGACACGACCACCCCGACTGGGCGCGCCGGCGGCCGCACCGGCCGCGCCGGCCTCGCCGGCCGCACGAGCGGGCCGACGCTCCGGAGCGCCTCCTCGAGCCCCAGCGGCACGACCGCAGAAACGCCCGGCGTCGGCGAGCTCTTGCACCTCCGGAGGGCGAGGCCGCCGAGCAGCGGCCCGCGCGCCGCGTCCGCCTCCGCCTGCTCGTCGAGCTCCCTCTCGAACGTGCTGCTCCGGCTGAGTGCGTCGAGCGAGGCCGCGACACCCACCTCCGCAGCAGCCTCCTCGCCCATCACCTCCGCCGCCGCCGCCTGCTCGCACGCGTCGGCGGCGGCGGGGCCGCTGGCGGAGAGCTCGCACGCCACCCGGTCCACCCAGTCCTTGTGCGAGGCGTACAGCGCGGCGTAGCGCGGCTCGGCGTCGTCGACGTCGAGCCAGGTCACGTTGTGCGCGTCGTCGCCCGCGCGGAGCGGCAGCTGGACGGCGAGGTCGGCCGTGCAGTGGAAGTGGAACGCCGTCGTCTCCATCCACGCGTTGTCCGTGTTGCGCGGGTCGTCGACGTAGCCGCGGTACACCACCTCGCCGTGCGCAAACAGCTCGTCGACGGCCGCGTTGAAGGCGGCGCGCTCGGCGTCGGAGGCCATGTTGCCCACCTCCTCGGCGAACTCGCGCCGCACCGTCACCGACACAACCTCGCCCGCGTCCACCATCCCGCCCGGCAGCGCCCAGACGCCCGTGTCGCCGCGCTGGATGGCGACAATCTGCAGCTTCCGCTTGTCGCCGGGCTTCCAGCGCGTCACGATCGGGTCGGCGGCCCGGTTGGGCCCCCACTTGCCGAGCATGCCCCGCCCGCACACGCCGGTGCGGCCGCGCGGGTTGACTGGCCGCTGGTCCGCGTCGAAGAAGAGGGGGCCCTCGCACGAGAGGCGGTGCTTGAGCTCCGCGAGGTTCGGCCGCGGGCTGTCGGCCCAGCCGTTCGGGTTGGCGTCGCTCCGCTCGGCCGCGAGCACCGAGGGGGCCACGAAGGGCACCGGCGAGTACTCTGGCCAGGGCACCTTCCAGCTCACCTTTGCGTCCTCGACCGGGAAGCGCGGCGGGTACTTCGGGTTCTGCTGGGACCGCGCGTGCACGTGCGCCGTGGCGTGCGGCGGCGGCGGCGGCGGCGGCGGCGTGCGGCGGCGGCGGCGGCGGCGCAAGCTTCTGTTAAGGCGCCGCCTTGGCTTGGTCCGGGCACTCCATCCGCGTCAACTCATCGCAGCGGACGAGCAGTGCGCTCGCCACGTCAATCTCGAGGAGTGCAATCGCCCGCTCGCCACGTCAATCTCGAGGACTGCAATCCCGCGCTGGCAAACAGAGCCAGACCGGAGGCGGAGTGTGAAGTGTGGACCGACGTCACAGTGATGCGGCCGTCGTGTGGCGCGGAGGCGCACAGCCGCGAGAATGCGATGCGAGGCGGAGCTACGACCCGTGATCGCTGGGCCAGGAGCGTAGCTTCGAAGTCAGATCGGTTGAGGCTGCGCCCATCAGCGTCAAGAACGAAATCGACCGAGAAGAAGTCTCGGACGCCACGCACAGCTTTGGAGAGCGATTCGCCCTCGAAGACGAGTGAGAAGACGCGGCGGACGAAGTTGACGGGGTCTTCGTTGGTCTGCATTCTTTGCGGGTCCAGCAGCAACGAACTGCCCCACACTGGTCGACACACGACACCGATCCAGCGAATCATGAACTTCTCGCACTTTTCCCAGCGTGTCATTTCTGAGTTTGTTTTGTCATTTCTGTGTGAGCACTTGAGCACCGGATAGGGTCGATTCCGCATGGTACGGGACCCCTCGATCGTCTCGCCCTCCCTCA